CACACAGACAGCCTCTCGACAATATGCGTTTTTGCTGGCTGTAGCAGCGCTATAGCGCTGTTATAGTGCTGCACAGCAAAAACGCATAAAAAGTGGGATAAATGATCAAGAAAAGTTGGGAGTTATATGAGGATAAATACGGACTACTGAGATGTGGCGGCCAACTAGTCAATGCAGCTGTAACACCAGCAGCAATCCATCCAAATTATCTACGAAGAAAGAGCAGAACCACAGGACTGATCATTTTGAAAATACGAAGAAAATGCTCATAGGGGCTGCGCTCAAACTCCGTCAGAAGTCCGTTAAAATTACTGGGTAGCAAACAAAAGGAAGTAGCATTGTAAAGAAAGCAATTCAGAACTGCATTTTGTGCCGCAGATGGAAAGCGAAGCGATTTGCTTTGCCTCATTTTCTTCCGTATCCAGCCCAGCGGGTGCAACGAACCAGAACTTTCCAAAGCATCGAATTAGGCTATTTGGGACCAGTCAACGTGAAAAGTGTGAACGGATCAAGGAAATGCTGAATCTGCTTATTCATGTGCTCTCCGCGAGAGCGGTTCACTTGGAGCTGATAAGTGATCTTAATGCTAATGCATTCTTATAGGGGTTTCGAAGATTCGTCGCAAGAAGAGTTGTACCTAAAGTCACAGTTCAAGCTTACTGAGAAGACAATGCAGTCACAAAAGGACAACCTAAAATTGAAGACTGCTGTGGCTAACGAGGAATCAAATGGAATTATATTACGGTGAGCGCGCCGTGGCAGGGTGGCATTTATGAAAGACTAATTAGACTGAAAAAATGCAGTTCGAAAATCAGTGGGTAGAAGATTTTTAACTCATGAAGAATGGTTAGCATTAATTGCCGAGGTCAAAGGAATCTTAAATTCACGACCTTTAACTACGTCTCAGGCAATGTGGAAGGGATACTACGTCTTATTGAATTCATTAGTCCTAAGACAAAGGTCGGTTCTGCAATATTTTCAGCAAATGATCGAGAAGATTAAGAATATATGCCTTTGTCCCTCCTAGCCAGAATTTGACCAAGCACTGGGAGAATACAAGCCGATGCTTAAACTATTTCTGGAAACATTGGAATGAAATGCATCTCGTGCATTTACAAGAGTGAACGCAGAAAGAGCGCAGGCAAGGACGAAATCTCACCCGTCGTTTTCCATGTATGAATGAAATTGTAATAGTATGCGAAATAAATGTCCCCAGAGGACTGTGGAAACTGGGGAAAATTGTTGAAGTGAAAAGGGGAAGTGATGAGGCAATAAGAAAAGCGACCGTTCAGTTACCGAACGGACATCTTTGGACACGGCCTATAAGTTGCCTTGCACGTTTAGAAGTACCGGCTCAGTCGGATAGAGAAGCGACGAATGACACCACCAAGCATCAATTTAGGTCGAAAAATCCTAATTTGGACAGGGAAAAATCTGAAGTGGTTTCCGACAATTCCTCTGAAAAGGCAAATAAGAACCATGATGTAACAGTGGTTATGAATGAAATTGCTAATACCAACTGCATGAGAGGACCGAAAAAGTGGAATCCAAAATTTGGTGCATTCTGTGCAGCAGTTTGCTGTTTCATGATGTCTGTGAATGCTGATCGAAAATTTCAATTGTGTGTGCCAAGACGAACCGGATTTTTGGTTTCACTACCGAATCAACTCCACTGTACTTTGTCACCTGACGACAAAGTGTGAAAACGATGGCAACGCTATATACGAGAAAATACACACGGTTCCCCGCATACCACTGTTCAAATATCACTCGTACAGTCTGAACGAAAACACTCCTCAAAATTATTCTGGAGATTTTAGCGGATACTAATGAGATTAAGGCCGTGGGCCCAAAGGTTTGTAAAAAACCCAGGCTGGAACACACCAGACGAGCCGGTGCGATCATGCGTTTTTGCACAGTTTGTTGCTGATTTTTAGTGCTGCTGTGCTATCTGGCCGCGGTGTTTTGCAAAGCTCTGTATATTGTGATATACAATCTAGACAGTGAAGTGCTTTGTTCGGAGAAATTTGAAGTGGGGCTGAAGTAAGTAGTGCTCCTGTCGCCTCAGTTCAACTCACAATGAGAGATCTGGATGCGGCTGGCGAGGTTGATGAATGTATCAATTATGTACAGCCCGGAAAGTGACGTAACTCTGGACAGCGCTACGTACAGCAAAATCCGTGTTCTTAGTTTAGATTAATTTTAAAAAAAATCAGTTGCGCGTAAGAGGTTCAGGAACTTAATGCATGCACGCAGTTGTATGTGTGATAAATTCTCGGCATTCAAAATGTCGGGGAAATGTCGGCATGGCGGTGAACTATAGAACAGTGCTCGGTCGATCACTGCGTTTCTTCCACGTGGTCACATTTACGTTTGCTGTGCACGCTTGTGCTGTTGTATTCGTTTGTTCGGCTTTAACAGGGTCTTCGTCGTGAAGAGTGCCGCTAGACGTGGTGCGGTAAAGCGTGGTGCAAGCCGCGAGAGCGGGGGTGGGGGCTTTAGTTTTTCTAGCTTTTCTTCCACTTCTGGTGACTACGACTATTACGTGCATCTGGCAGAGCAGAAATAACTTGCGATGTGTTGCTGTTGTATTTCGAGATATAGTATGCTTTGACCTCTTCTGGCATGCGGAAGAAAGGATGTCGGTTGAGAAGAAGGTTTATGTTGGTTTGATAGGTTTATTTTCCAGCCTCCCAGCATTCCTGGTTCCCAAGCTAGCGATTTTCGTGCCAGGAACTCTCATGCGGCTGTACGCGGGAGCCACGCGCACCTGGGGGCTGAATTTGAAATCTTTGAGTCATTTTTGGACGGGGAAGATAACTTCAAAATTTCAGCCTTCTATCTTTTCTCGTTCTCGAGTTATCAGTTTTCTCGCCAAAACTTTCACCCTCTCCTACGCAGGGCCGAAACTTGCATGGGGGTTTGTACCGCGGTTCTGGGGTGGCACTTGGCTGGGAACCCAATAGCAAAATTTTGGCGCTAGAAAATGCTTGGCTGTCGAGTTGAAATACCCGGATAGATGAACACACACACACAAACATACACACAGACAGGGTCGTTGCAATATGCGTTTCTCCAATTTGCATATAGGCAAAAACGCATAATAAGAAGCTGTCGGGCAAATCCAAACACTGAAAGCGTCGCATGTTCACGATATCAAAGAGATATATGCACACTGACATCCGCACCAAGTTTGATGCACACTGAAATCCGAAGTGCCAGAACAGTCGAAGAGCAACCGTAATCCTTGAACAGTAGAAAGCAAAAACAAAAAATGGAAGCTCTAGACCAGTACAAAAAGAAGAAAAAGAAAGCAACCAGTGCATTTGCTCTAGTCACCTCACACTACTAGGGCTGCAATGCCGTAAGGGAAAACAGTGGTTGAAAGCCAGCACATGAAAAGAAAATGTGATTGTGGAGATTAGGCAAAAAGCGTAAAACTGACCAAATCATTGAGGGGAGCGGGAAGTAGCACGAAAATATCAAGGTGAAATTGTGGTTTTGCAGCAGAATTCACGACTGAACAGAAGAACCCAAAAGTTTCAAGCGTAAATATTTCGGGCAGAAGTTGAATCGGGGCCGTAGCAAAAAAAATTGAAAGCGTCAGAAATGAAACTTACAGTATAAAACAGCAACACAGGCATGCTTGCCATCTGCAGTAAGTCTCTCGTCCGAAGCATCGAAAAAGAGGCCAGCATAAAGGCCAATGTAAAAAAAGAAGGATGGATACCAGTGGAATTCGTCTCCAGTGCTTAGGCTGCAATATAGTGAGGAAAGAGTGAAGGCCAGCACTTGAAAAGCGGAAGACATGGCGGAAGTAGGCTAAGAAAGATGACCAAACTGGCAAAAGCGGTAACAAGTGGCGCGCGGCTATCATGGAACATATACACACACCGTAACTCAACCATATTCAATATGCATCTTTGCATTTACACCCCAGGCTGTAACGCACCGGGCGGGCCCATGCGATCATGTGTTTTTGCATAGGACTTGAAGTACTCAGGTGAATAACTGCATGAATGGTTTTTATGCGTTTTT